TCTGCTCTGGCCGCATCAGCGTTTTCCCAGCGGCAGCAATGGATGGGACATTGTTGGGTTTGGGGAACCTTTTTTTGTTTTTACCGAGTGCCGCTTTTCAAATGGAATGTTCATGCGGCTTTGTGTTATTTGACGCAAAAAAAACTTTGGTCACGCGAGGAACCCCTACGCGTTTGACTCTGCGCTCGGAGCTAACCTGAAAGATCGGTCAATGAACGTGCACAGAGTTGCCAGGTCAAAAACATTCTCTTCGAGCGCCCTATTCAACGTGGCTAAGATGCGTGCACAGGTGGATTAATATCGTTTCGGGGCCATTTCAAAGCGATTTGGCCTCGCGGGCCCATATTTAATTGAAGTCGCGAACTGTAGCTTGCCCGTGGCTCCGTATGTCTGGATGAGAACGTCCATCTACTACCATAACCGTCGTTTCCGAGACTTTTTTGCATTTTGCGGGATCCTGTTTTTAAAAAAAACCGTATATATTCGACAGTTCCTTAGAAGCACTGTCGAATGCATGTTCAAAAACGGCATGATTTTTTTTTATTTGCCTTAGTTTACTTTTGAGGGTTCGAGTTTAATAATGCTTGCGTTTTTATGACCTATATTTTTACGGAAGGAATTTTTTTTTTATGTTAGTGGCATGCGCTGCCTGCATGCATTTGTCACTTTCCATGATAGAGTGAGACGGCCTGCCACAATTTTTTCGCCCTCGTGAAATTTGCCAATAATTAATTATCCCCCCCCCCCGCCGCCAGCGATTCGATGAACCGTAACGATTCGGGATCGCACTTTGATTTAAAAATCAAGTGTCTGGTGGGGTTTTTTTTTTCTTCTAAAAACGTGTTATTGGTATTCGGTTGTGCTGTCTGCACTGTGGTGCCGTGAGATAAGAGGTGTCCATTCGAGACCGGTCACAGGGTAGTGTGTTCTGTTTGTCAAACAACTGCAGAAGAGATGTTTCCGCTGGACTTAATCATTCAAGTGGCCTTGTTATCCTTTACACAGCGGTGCGGGCGGGGCGGGGGCACTTTCTTCCCACAAGCTCTGCTATGACCGAGTTTATCACGTGACTGTGGATTCCTTAATGTCTTTTTTACGTATCAAAGCTGATATTTTACCAAATCAAGTGCACAACTAAATGTTGTTTTGCGCAGTAATTGCTGACCGGGATGAGACCAATCGGCGCGTTACACTTGAGAACTATAAACTCTCAGTTTTTTCTTTTCACCCTAGTGGCAAATGAAGCCACCTCCAGTGGCTATATGGGCCTTGAGAAGCCGTTACGTGGAACGCCTTTCGAATCTTCTCTGCCGTGGTGCACGTATAGTGAGCTTCATAAAGACATTGTTCGATGGTTCGACGTGTCATTATACTCCTTCGTAATAGAGCGCGCAACAAGTGCGGTCACATCTTCACCAGGCTCTGGCTTATGTCACCAGGCACACTCCCATCCTCCTCGTTAGACACTCGTAGGTCAAGACGATAACATTGCGCCCATGGCATGCAAACTCGGGGGGTTTGGGGGGGGTATATACAGAGTGGGGTCGAAGGGGGGGGGCCCATTCAGTGACAAAATGTGGGCTTAGGTGTCCTGCCGTTGTCATAATTAGCACCACATTTACTGGGCCATGCCAATAAACATTTATGTTTCTCGTGGTCGCTTCCTCGGGCAGCGTGGTTTTATAGCCGCACCGACACCACGGGGCCTCCTCTGGACTCTAGTAAATGGTCTCCTTGGAAGGGCTGGGCCAAGCCCGCCCGCCAGCCCGCCCGCCAGCCCGCCCGCCAGCCGCAACATCGGAATGTGTCTGGTTGATAAGGTGTCTCCTGTTGCTCTCAAGACATCGGCCGCCGTTTGTCCCCCTGATTGTTAAACGCCCGGCCCCCTTCATTGTTAAACACCCACCCACCCAACCGGCCGTGGCAGGAAGTGCTTTGGGGGTTGGGGGAGGGGACTAAGAAAGTAAAAAAATGGGATTGGAAGATTATTCCACGAGGCTTTTTAAAGTGTTTAATACACTACAGTTTCTTCTTCTTGGTTCTTTCGGTAAAGTCACGTAGAAGGGAAATAATAAAATAAAACAAATTAAACACCACAGTTTGCTTTCAACGTGGCGCTCTTCTTGCTGCAGCAGTACCCGTGACGCTTTGCGATACAAAATGTGGGAGAAGGCTTTAGGTAAACAGCAACACATTGATTTATTTCACGCTTCCCCTTGGCTTAGTCTAAGAATTCATCATTGGATGTCTTAGTTTGGCAGCTAAATTGGCCATTACGTTGATGAAGGTTGACACCACTTCAGTGCAGTTCCAATGTGTGTTTTATGTATTTTTCTGTTGTCCCTATGTAATGTTCATGTTTTCTCAACCTGCTGGATGAATTCCTCTGGCACGCCTCGTCGGTGTTGTGGGTTGCTTGACCATACTTCACCACGCTGGTCAGTTGCCGTGTTTGGTGAAGTCTGGGTGGGGAGACTCGACCAATTCGGGAATCGAACGTAGGTCAAGGGGTTCATAGCGAAGTGTATTACTAACCATTGCACCCGCCGCTCTACCCTTTAACTTCTATGCACAGTGGTTGAATATTGCCGGTGATAACTGTAGACAGTAATAGGTTGTGAACATGTTCCTTTTAAGAATGTTATTCACATTGAGACGTCCTAATGTAAAAGCTTACCCCGGGCTCTCAATACTTCTGATGGTGCGTTGTTGTCTTTGAGTTGTACGCCTTTTGGCGTCATCTGGTCCAACACCATGTGAGACTGGGCTCTAAGAAAAGCTGTCCCGGGTGTGGACCAATGAATTTCAAGGACAGTGCACACATTATCAGTGTTGTCTTTTTGTTTGCATTTTGACCGAAAGTGTTGTGGTTAATGTTATTCACGTGAATTCAATGAAGACGTTGGCTCAGCTGTGGCCAAATCCTGGAACGTGCCCACAGGCGCAGAAAAATCATAACAAATCATGTATTATGAGCAGACAATTAAAACTTTAAGGTGGCTTTGGCATGGTGGTATTGGAAGGAAAGCACATGCTGTATAGAAAGAAAAACGAAATACCCCCTGGCTCATTTGCTCTTAGCCCCCAAACCACAATGGTAATAATAACGTGGAGCATTTGCAGTTTTGTAAAAAGCACGTCGAATTTGTAAGGATCGCATAGAGTCTCTTTGCGTGCTTTTTTAGTACGAATTGTCGAAAAATATAAGGAGAGTTATTCTCTCAGATCGTTTTGCTCCTTCCAGGGGCACGTTCCGGAGATTGCTGGTGAAGTCACTCGCAGCAGAAGGCGATTTGTGCACGTCCCTGTGAAATAATTCTGAATTGTTTTGAATTGCAGTGTTAGTCACGGTAGTTTGTTCTTTTCGTACCTTTATGTCAGGTTGAGCAATTCCTTCCTGTTGTAAGGTGTGCCGATGTGTCATTCCCACTAAACATTGTTGTTCAATGAGATTATTTAACCGAATAGGTAATCCCCCCCCCCCCCCCCCCCCCCCGTTTTGCTGAAGCCCCCATTGTTTGGAATTCTTCCACCCCTGACCATCTTCTCCCCACGTCCTTCCCCCTATTCAAGTCCAGACTCAAGACGTTTGTCTTTGCTTTTGGCTGACTGTCTTGTTTTCCACTCTAATGAAGCATCGTTCATCTAACCTTCACCAAACTGAATCTCAAGTTTCGCTCTGCCCTGCAGTATCATCATGCCCGACTTCCCCTCCCTTCCGTAAAAAAAAAACTATTTTTTGTTCTTCGTTTATCTCTGGGCACGTTCTTCATTTTGTAAAGCAACCTTGAGATGCGGTCACATGTAAACGTGATAAGCCGCTTCATTGAGCTGTCATTTATGGCCAGATTGTTTCTGAAAAAGAAGCTAGTAGCTCGGGACGATTTGGCTGGTAAAATAAAATAATTTTTTTTGGGTGATTTGCTTATGTTTCCTAAACTTTGTACTTCTATAGAGTTTTTGTATTGTTTCCTATTGTACCGTTCTGACCCCGTGCCCTGATCTGTGAAAAATATTTGATAGCTCATCGGATTCTTTCAGTTCATATAAATATTCTGATATGCTTAAAAATAATAATTATTTAATATTATTATTGCCCTCTTGTGCGTCCGCTCCTGGATGAAGGCCTCCCCCCCCCCCCCCACACTGTGTCGCTCACGGGAGTCGTTTGACCGCACCACAACGACGCTGCTTGGGGATACGGCTCCTGTGGCCAGCTGGTTTGCGGCACAGTTGCGCTGACCGCTGCTACGCCCCCGTGTCGAGTCGTCTTATTTCACAAATATACGGGGTGATCCGTGAATGGATACCCCCCCGCCCACGTCTCACGACCCTCTTTCGGATAGATAAATGTTATTTATTCCGAGTGATGGCTCTAATAAGTGTATTGTGATTGGTGGAGGACGTGCAGAGGCTGTGGATAATAAAGTGGATTATTGCAGAGGGGTATCTACAAATGGATCATTGCTCCGAAGCATTGGCTGGGGGTTGTAGCTGAAAGCTCTTCTAACTTCTCACAGTCGAGGCGTTCGATATACAAATTGTATGCGGGAGTTGGAGGAGTCTGGGAAAACGCAAATTTGTGCAAATAACTGATGTCCGTCACAGCCTTTCCTTGTATATATGGGGGGGGGGGTGGAAACGGAACAGAATGCATGATGGACAAAATCAGATCTTATCGGTACTGTTTACCTTTTCACATTTGTTTAAAGTTTGTTGTAATATTTACTGTGGTCGTCGTCATCCCACCACTGACCCCCCTCCCCTGAACTTTTGTTTGCTGCCTCCATCACACCAAGGTCACACTACGGGGCTGACGGACCGCCCGCTACTGTCACACGTCATCCCCACCGATCGGTCGTGGAGCAATGTCGCTCACCCTCGGTTTTGTGTCCCCGACCTTTCCCTCCTTCGTCCACCCCGCTTGTCCCCTCCTTGCTCGCCCTCTCTCCCTTCCTCTCCGCCGCCGCTCGTGATTGCTGCGGTGACGACGGCGACAGGACCGCAAGCTGACCAAGGCAGAGCGGCAGCGCTTCAAGGAGGAGGCCGAGATGCTCAAGGGCCTCCAGCACCCCAACATCGTGCGCTTCTACGACTCGTGGGAGGCGACCGTCAAGGGCAGGAAGTACATCGTGCTCGTCACGGAGCTCATGACGTCCGGCACCCTCAAGACGTGAGTCGCGAACCAAGGCCCGCAGGCCCAACAAGCCCGCCAGCGACGTTAGCCGTCGGCTGAGCAGGCGGTGCAATCGCACCGAGGCCCCCCTACGGGCTGGAGGGGGCACAGGTGGCAAGCCATGAAGAAGAGGAAGGAGAATTGGACTCGTGGGCTCATTTTTATTCCTTGCACCGATGCCCATGCTCTACCCACACTGCCACTGTTTAGGAGTTGGCTTGTGCTGGAAACTGGTTGGCTCGGTGGTTCGATCTAGATTTAGGTTCAGTGCTTGCTAGTGGCCGACAGGCTAGTGCGTTACAGAGTAGGGCTACTCATAGTGGCTGGTCGATAAATGTCAGGGGTAGGCCGAATGCTCAAAGATAGGTGAGTGTGTTATGGGTAGGACTTGTACCAGTGGCTGCTTGGCTAGTTGCTTAGCATTGGAGGCAGTGCCAAGTGTTTAAGAGTGCAGGTGGTGCGATGGCAGATGGGGTGGGGGCAGAAATTTGACTGGGGCCCACCACCATTTCATCGTTTGCACGAGGGATCCATGCCAACCATGCTGCTGCTACTGCTGCGGGCGTTGCCCGGCCCTCTCCTTTACGCCCAAGCAAATGCAGAGATCCTCTCGCTTTGTAGCCTCACGGACTTTTGTGGGAAATCTTTAGTCGGCGGGTGCCCCGTTGGGACCATTGCTTTTGCCGGCGTTGCGTCAGTCTAACCAATGCCGATGTTTTTACACCACCGCATTCAGGTGGTTATTTAAGGCTGAGTCAACCAAGGGGAGGGGGGGGGGTGGGCTGGGTGGGGGGGGACGCCTTGAACAGGTTCAGATACCGCATTCCGCTGACCCCGGTGCGGGCGGGCGGTGCGGTAATCGCACACGTTTGCCAATTGCACCGTAGTTTAGTAAGCACCGCCATCGCTGTCCCCCCTTCGCCCTCCACAGCACTCGCACGCATGCACGTGGTTTAAGGCGTGCGTACACGCATGCGCAGCTATTTTCCTTCACGCTAGCCTGCGACAGAAACACGCTGTCGGGACAAAAAAATATGTCAAGAAAAGTATTCTTGCGCAAGGGGCTGATTCATTTTGTTGAAATGTACGCTCACTAGGAACTTTGCGTTCTCTCTCACTCTCTTTTTTATTTATTTTACCATCAGGCAAGACCCACTGAGCTGTATAGCTCATGTTGAGAAGCGACCTGGCTATCGCCAATGATAGCTCAACAAAGTGGCTTATCACGTGGAAACTTATAGCAGGTAAATTCCTCAACGCGTGATGTTGATTCTAAATCTCGAGGGAAAACCGGAGGACCCGGAGGAAAATCCACGCAACCACGGGGGGGGAGAGAGAGACACGCAAACTCCAAATATATAGGCGTCGGGGTCAGGATCGAAGCCATGCCCTTCTGTATACCAGGAGAGATAGTTAACATCTCGCCACCGTGGCGCTCTGGGAATCGTGGTATCACGTAGAGCGTCGTGCGGAATGTGCTCCTGCGTACTTTACGCGTACTATTGCACGGGGCATTCGAAGCTTTGGTGTGCTCGAACAATTGTGCTTGCACGTATGAAGTGACCCGCGATTTGCAATAGCAGTCTCAACAGTGTGATTTGTGGTATTTTACACTGCCCGTGCCATGTGAAGAATGTATCCAGGAGTGGCACTTGTTGTATTCTGGGTAAAGGTGCAGCCCCGCAATCGCTTGCTTATTCCACTGCTGGGAGAAAGGCCACTGCTACTAAAAAGGAGCTCACGAGAACCCCTCCCAGAGGGTATTGGGCCTGCTCTTCCACGCTGTCCAGGCTTCTTGTTTGTCGAATTTAAATAAGCGATGCTTTGGCGGACATGTAGCAATATGCCAGTATCAAGGCATTGTGACCATTCCGAAGCGTATATGGATGCATAAGCACTGCACGGAGAGACGTTGAAACAATATCTGAATATTCCACTGGACGTTGTATTTCAAATGAAATCTTGTTTTTAGTTTAAAAAGAAAATGTTAAGTTTCCACTCGAGGGGGGGGGGAAGAAAAAAACCGTAAGAAATATTAAAACAAAGTTTCACTACTTTGTGTCATTGGCTGGCACAGAATTGACAATCGTATTGAAGTTATTCAACTACAAAAACAATGGGGTTTTTTCCCCGACTGGAATGGTATGCCCGTACCAATTTGGCCGTATCTCCATAATAATCAGAATCGGAGAATGTATTTATACTGGAGGAATCCGATGAGGTATGAAGTTATTTTTCACCGATGTCCAGTAGGGGTGGGTAAGAATAAGAAAGCTAAACGGAATGTATCTGTTTTGATTTAAAGCTTTCGTGACTGCAGTAATTCATATTCTTAGCTCTTTCGGTAATGTATCTGTGTCCAAAGAACTCCTAGGCTGCTCCACCAATTTAGACGAATTTCAAAAATGCAGTCCTTTGAAAGCTTATTAAAATGCAATTCATGCAGATGAGGTTGAAACTTAATATTTTCACTTCACGTTACCCAGTTATTTGGCTCATTGATCCTCTCTACCATTTACAATAACCCGGGGTGTAATTAGGCCCCGATTCAAAATTGTACAACAGATTAGCCGGGTTCCTCACCGAACACGTGCATTGGTTGCCCAATGGGTGTGTTGCCTGTGCCACAGTAAACACAGTGGCGTGTGACAACGTGCGCAGAACGGTCCGACCACCAGCGCTGTATAAAATAATTTGAGTGCAAAAGTCTTAAGGCGTGTAGGGAAACCAATTGGTGGGCAGTTAATTTTAAAGTGAAACATGCCCTGCGGGTGAACTCGGGCTGTGTTGCATTGTACAACAGGGGTGGCTGGGCAAAATTCAGGAACAGAATATATACTTAAACTGCAGAAGGAATCCGATGATATATGGAAGCTCTTTTTCCGCAGATGTCCAATCGGGGCGGGTCAGAAAGTTAACAACTACAAGCAATGCAAAAACACGATAGGAGAGGTTAGCAAATCACAATATTTTTTATTATTCTACCAGGTAAAGCCCACCGAGCTATTTGTCTCTTTTTCAGAAGCGACCTGGCCACATGATAGCTCGACGGGAGGCATTTATATTTCACTGGTTATTTGAACGTATTGTGGTTATTGCCATGGTTTGACATTGATGGAGTTCGATAGACGTGCAGGAAAAGCCATTCCAACTAACGATTTGGATTTTTCCACTTTTGGGTACTCCCCCACCCCACTCATCATGGTTTACGATCGTGTACTGGTTAGCACACTGGACTTGCAATCCAAAGGTCGCCAGTTCAATTCGGTCGCCCGACGCTGGCGGTTAAAACCATGGCGCGAGTTTCTGAAGTCCTGGGTACGTATTGGTGCACCCGCAGTTGGTGTGGGGCGGAAAAGTGTGGCAATCCCCCGTCACACCTTTCTGAGACGTTCGACCAACGTGGAAGAAGTAGGCTCGCTTGAACTTCCCCTTATGGAAGCCAGCTCTGCCAGCAATCGCACAAACGTTTACAGTGTTGAGGGAAAACAGCATTTGATCCCCTGCTGATTTTGTACGTTTGCCCACTGACAAAGAAATGATCAGTCTATAATTTTAATAGTAGGTTTATTTGGACAGTGAGAGACAGAATAACAACAAAAATCCAGAAAAACACATGTCAAAAATGTTATAAATTGATTTACATTTTAATGAGGGAAATAAGTATTTGACCCCCTCTCAATCAGAAAGATTTCTGGCTCCCGGGTGTCTTTTATACAGGTAATGAGCTGAGATTAGGAGCATACTCTTAAAGGGAGTGCTCCTAATCCCAGCTTCTTACCTGTATAAAAGACACCTGTCCACAGAAGCAATCAATCAATCAGATTCCAAACTCTCCACCATGGCTAAGACCAAAGAGCTCTCCAAGGATGTCAGGGACAAGATTGTAGACCTACACAATGCTGGAATGGGCTACAAGACCATTGCAAAGCAGGTTGGTGAGAAGGTGACAACAGTTGGTGCAATTTTTCGCAAATGGAAGAAACACAAAAGAACTCTCAATCTCCCTTGGCCTAGGGCTCCATGCAAGATCACACCTCGTGGAGTTGCAATGATCATGAGAACGGTGAGGAATCAGCCCAGAACTACACGGGAGGATCTTGTCAATGATCTCAAGGCAGCTGGGACCATAGTCACCAAGAAAAGAATTGGTAACACACTACACCATGAAGGACTGAAATCCTGCAGCGCCCGCAAGGTCCCCCTGCTCAAGAAAGCACATATACATGCCCGTCTGAAGTTTGCCAATTAACTTCTGAATGATTCGGAGGACAACTGGGTGAAAGTGTTGTAGTCAGATGAGACCAAAATGGAGCTCTTTGGCATCAACTCAACTCGCCGTGTTTAGAGGAGGAATGCTGCCTATGACCCCAAGAACACCATCCCCACCGTCAAACATGGAGGTGGAAACATTATGCTTTGGGGGTGTTTTTCTGCTAAGGGGACAGGACAACTTCACCGCATCAAAGGGACGATGGACGGGGCCATGTACCGTCAAATCTTGGGTGAGAACCTCCTTCCCTCAGCCAGGACATTGAAAAGTGGGTCGTGGATGGGTATTCCAGCATGACAATGACCCAAAACACACGGCCAAGGCAACAAAGGAGTGGCTCAAGAAGAAGCACAATAAGGTCCTGGAGTGGCCTAGCCAGTCTCCAGACCTTAATCCCATAGAAAATCTGTGGAGGGAGCTGAAGGTTCGAGTTGCCAAACGTCAGCCTCGAAACCTTAATGACTTGCAAAGAGGAGTGGGACAAAATCCCTCCTGAGATGTGTGCAAACCTGGTGGCCAACTACAAGAAACGTCTGACCTCTGTGATTGACAACAAGGGTTTTGCCACCAAGTACTAAGTCATGTTTGCAGAGGAGTCAAATACTTATTTCCCTCATTAAAATGCAAATCAATTTATAACATTTTTGACATGCGTTTTTATGGATTTTTGTTGTTGTTATTCTATCTCTCACTGTTCAAATAAACCTACCATTAAAATTATAGA